CAAGCTTGTTCTTTGCCACCCCTTTAGTGAGAACATCATCCAACTGCAACTCTAAAGAGACATAAGGTAAACAAACTTCTCCGGTTGTTACCCCTTTCTCTTATAAAGTATCTATCAACTTCAATGTGTTTTGTCCTATCATGCTGAATTGGATTCTGGGCAATATTGATTGCAGCCTAATTGTCACAGTATAACATCATAGGTTCCTTTGCTTTCACCCCAATCTCCCTCAAAAGAGATCTAACCCAAAGAAGTTCAGAGACACCAGGAGCCATGGATCTATACTCAGCCTMTGCACTTGACCTTGCCACAACCGCTTGCTTCTTACTCTTCCAGGAGATCAAGTTTCCACCTACAAAGATACACACTCCTGATGTAGACCTCTTGTCATCTAAGCATCCTGCCTAGTCTGCACCTGTATAGGATTCTAGCTTCAGATTCTCATGATTTGAGAAAAAAATGCCTCTGCCAGGGTGCTTTTTCAGATATGCAAGTACTCTCAATAGCTTCCCAGTGCTGAACCCGAGGTGCATGCATGTACTGACTCACAACACTGATAGCATAAGAAATATCTGCTCGTGTCTAGGGGTTTAAACGGATTGAATTCGAATCGGATCAGGCAATATCCGAATTTGAATCCGATTAGAAAATTCGATATCCGACGAATATTGAAAATTAATATTTGAATTCGAATCCGATTAAATATTCGAATATTCAATTCGATTCGAATTCAATTAATTAATTATTTTAAATAATTAATAAATATATAACATAAATATTTTATTGATATAAAGTATATCAATATATAAATTATTTATATAACTTAATTATTATATATAAATTATATAAAATATTTTATATATTATATATAAGAATTAAATAATCGGTCGAATTCGGATATTTATCGAATCGAATCAGGTCATATCCGAATTCGAATCCAATTAACTATTCGGTATGAATAGGATATCCGAATTCGACCAATTAGATATTCGAATTATCCGAATTCAACTCGACTATGCCGAATATCGAATTCGACATCGGATTTTCAAATACCGTTGACACCCCTAGTCGTGTCATACACAAATACAGTAGTCGGCCCACCATTCTTTGATATCTCCCCACATCCTTTACCAACTCGCTATCCACACCATTAATTATGTGATTTGAATCAATAGGAGTGTTTGCTGGTTTGGTCCCCAGCTTCCCAGTCTCCTGTAGTAGGTTAAGTACATACTTTCTCTATGAAATGAAGATCCCATGCTTGGATCTTGAACCTTCAATTCCTAAGAAGTATTTGGGCTCACCAAGATCTTTGATCTCAAATTCTTGCTGTAATGATTTTTTGAGATCACCAATCTCCTCTAGATCATTTTCTGTCACCACTATCCACATACACAATCAGAATTGACACCAAAGCATCTCTCCTATTCACAAAGAGGGTGTGATCAGATTGTGTATGTGTGTATCCAAAACGGATGATTGCCCCTCTGAACCTGTCAAACCAAGCCCTARGTGACTGTTTTAGTCCATACAAAGATTTTCTGAGTTTGCACACCTTTCCTTAATCAACATTTTCATAAAAGCCCGTTGGAATGTCCATATATACCTCCTCTTGTAAATCACCATTGAGGAAGGCATTTTTGACATCAAGCTGGAACAAGGGCCATGAATAGGTGGCTGCTAGAGATAAAAGGATACAAACTAAACTCATCTTAGCTACTGGTGCAAAGGTTTCTAGGTAATCAACACCATAGGTCTGAGTATACCCTTTTGCTACCAACCTTGCCTTGTACCTCTCTATCTTGCCATCGGCCTTATACTTCATTGTGAATACCCATCTACACCCGACTGTCTCATTGTCTGGGGGGAGATCATCTATTTCCCAAGTTTGGTTTTTGACCAAAGCATCCATCTCATCTTGCATGGATGTTTTCCACTCAGGTTTGGAGAGAGCCTTAGTAACATTCCGGGGTATAGACATAGAATCCAGGGAAGAAAGAAAAGCATGGTAAGAGGGTGATAAGGCACTATAGGAAAGATGGTGTGAAATGCAATGGGCTGTACACTTTCTCTTCCACTTACGAAACGCAATGGGAAGATCAAGGTCAGTGGGATCAGCTGCAACAATGGTGTTAGGGACAGAAACATTATCATCAGAAAACATAACAGGCTCAGGCTCAAGAGGAATACCTGGAACTGTATTTGCCGAATCTGGAGTTTCAGAAGGACTGATATAGAGTGGTGTGGGTTGAGGATGTGTGGAGTCAACCATCATCTGCCGGCGTTGATATTTCTGTGAGGCTGCCCGTAGTGGCTCAAGTACTGAAACTGGAGGTGCAGGTGTTGGCTGAACTGATGGAGGCACCAAAGAAACAGGAAGATGAATAGATTGTGAGTTCTTCTCCCCAAAACTCTCCCCCTGAGGAGAACCACTCAAGAAGAAGGTCGATTCAAAGAAGGTAACATCTATAGTGACAAATCTGCTCCTTGACACTAGGTCATAACAGCAATACCACTTTTGGTTTTGAGCATACCCAAGAAAAACACATTTCTTGGCCTTAGGATCCAATTTCTTGCTATGAGGGCCAATAATGTGAACAAAGGAAACACAGGCAAAAACCCTTAGAGGTATATGAAATATCTCCCCATCTGGAAAAAGAAGACTATATGACACCTTAAATCCCAAAGTCCGTGAAGGAACACGGTTAATCAAATGCACGGCTGTAAGAACTGCATCTCCCTAAAACTGCACAGGAACTGAAGCACACACCATAAGACTCCTTGCCACAAATTGTATGAGAACCATCTAGTGGAACTATCGTACCAAGTTAGGAACCTCATCACGTGATCTCATCAAATATATCCAAGAATATCGTGTATAATCATCCACAAACAAGAGAAAGTAACGGAATCCTCCCATGGAAGGGATATGATATGGCCCCCACAAACAAGCAGAAGACTATCTACAATGCTTTCCTAACTGACAACTTTCACACTCCAAAGTAGATAACTGAACAGACTCAAATAACTTTGGAAAAAGGCATTTCAAAGAACTAAAAGAAAGATGTTCCAAGCGATTGTGCCAAAGCATAATCTGGTTCACTAACTCTAACCCACTACTACTGCTACTACTAACATGATGGCCCTAATGTCTCAGAATCTCATCTAGAAGATTCACCTCACGACTACTCCCAATCATCTTCTTTGACTCCAGATCCTGTAAAACACAATTACTAGGAAGAAAGGTCACGGAACAATTCAATTTTTTTGTCAAAGAACTAATAGATAGTAGGTTGGTATGAATTCTAGGGACATGTAAAACAGAAGATAGAGTTATATCATCGGTCACTCTAATTGTCCCCTTCCTAGCAATGGGCATATGTGAACCATCTGCTATAGAGACTTTGTCTCTACCAGAGCACAATTGATAGGAACTGAAAAGGATAGGGGCATTAGTCATGTGCTCAGATGCTCCTGAGTCTATAATCCAGGGAGGTCCCTCCTTACCTGAAGTGGATGCAAGATTTGCAATTGCATATGAACTACCTGTATGTGCAAAGGAAGTGGTGTAATTGGCTCCTGCATTCTGCTGTCCATCTGGAAAGCTAGAGCTAGGTTAACCTTTCTTACTCATAAGCTGTCCAAACCTCTCCAATTTTGTTCTCACTACTGCTTGGATTCCCAATCAATTTGGGAAAGAGGGGCCAAAGAGTCTCCTGTAGTGGCTACATTTGCATTTCCCTTCTTGTTCCTTATCCAAACAGGTAGAAGATTTGGATGAACCTTCCAACAAGTATCCTTGGTATGCTTAGGCTTCTTGCAATAATCACACACCAAGTCCTTATCTTCCCTTCTAGTCTCACTACTCCCCCTGCCTCCATTTGGCTTAGGTTTTGTTGTACCAACCATAGTCGACTGGTCAATCCCAAGCTGTCTCAGCATTACATTCCTCCTACTCTCCTCTCCAGAGACAAATGCATATGCCTGAGAGAGTGTCACGCCCTCCCTAGAAAGAATATGCTTACTAGCAATGTCAAATTCAGGGTTTAGCCCTACCAAGAACTCAAAAACCCTATTCCTCTTTACCAGTCTGTGATAAGTTGCTGCATCATTTACACTTTCCCATACCACAGTTTCTAAGTGATCTATTTCCTACCATAGGGTTTTCAGCATGGAGAAATACACAACAAGAGGTTTTTCTCCCTGTTTCATACTTATTACCTGATTTCTTAACTGATAGGCTCTGGCTTCATTTTGCTTCTGAGAGTAGGTTTTAGTCACTCCATCCCAAATCTCCTTAGCAGTATAAGCCCATAGGAAATTTTTCGCAATATGAGGTAACATAGAATTACATAGCTAGGACATTACCATGTAATTCTCCTGCACCCATCAGGAAGAGTCTATATCAGGTTTCTTCTCCTCCCCAGGTGAGATGCTCTAATTTTCCACGAGCACCAATAGCCATCTTAGTTGATTGTGCCCACTCCAAATAATTTGTACCATCAAGTTTTACTGTAGTAATGATCCCAGACCCAAAAATATCATTACTACCTCCAACACCCAGTCCCACAGTACCGGTAGATTTCATCTTGATATTCCAACTCTCCATCTTAGTTCAAATAGTTCAACAGTAAGAAAAAATAGATTGGAGACCTTCAAAAAATACTTTAATATCACACACAAAAACCAACCCTTCCGGAAGAAGAAAACCCTAGCAGGAGAGAAATCTCCTCCCCACGCCTCCCAACAGAGAAAAGAGTGAATCGATCACTCCAGGAGGCTCAGAAAATTCCAGAAACCAAACCGCCCTCTTCAGAAAATCAAAAGAAAACTAACAATACCTGGATGCCCAAGATCAGATAAAAAACAAAGAGTCCAACTTTTCTGGGACTCTTCCCCGTACTCCAGTTCTTCCTGATTTTGATGCTGAACAGTAGATCACCTTCTTGATGACTAGATCCCACCAAAAAATCCAAGAACTGGGCAATCTATAGCAGATCAATCAGCCCTTTACTACTTCATGCAGTCGGCTGATCTAGGGCTGCATGAGAATGCTTCAAGAAACGCT